CCTGGAGGAGGGATCCTGGCTTATCTCTCTTGTCCCCCAGCAGTGTCTGGCACAGAGCCCAGTACTTAGAAAGCCCCCAGTAAACACTTGTCAATGCAACTAGTAGCAGAACCAGAATTAGAAGTCAGATCTCCCGAATCCTAGTCTTCAGGGCCTTACTTGCTTCTTTTGACATCACAAAGGCAGGGAAAATGTCCCACCAAAGGTGGGGATCAGGTTGTCCAGAGAAGACCTTGGAATGTGCCAGGGGTTGGCGGGATTGCTACATGTGGAGCTGCAGAGGCAATGAGTGAAGAGAGTCCTGGCTTCTAGCTAGGGGTTTCAGGCGAGTTCCTTCCTTCCATCTTTTCTTCCTTCTTTCTTTCCTTCCTACTTCCCTTCTTTCTATCAATAAGCCCTGATCATCACTTCTGGAGGGGAAACATACTGTTTCTTTGATTCTTTTCTCCTCCAACTCCAGTTCATATCTGAAAAAAATCTCTATTCTAGGGACCAGTTGCACAGAAAAACAAAAAGCTCCACCATGTTCAAGCATCAAGGGACTGCTCATGCTGTTCTTCCTCCCCCAGGGTTTCCCAGGAACCATTGCTCTGTAAGCTGTCTCTCCTGTGCCCAGCTGACTGGAACAGCTTCCCAGTCCCCTGTGGGTAACCCCAGGCTCTCCTGGGCCTGACTTTGGTGGTGTCTTGCCTGGCCTGCTCCTTGGGGGACCTCTGGTAGAGCAGGCTTCCATTTCTCTTTTTCCTTCCAAGATGTCCTGGCTCCACGCCTTCGGACTGAGCAGGAGCAGAGAGCAGGGTGGGCAAGATGCTTTCTGCAGACTTTTCTCCCTAAATTGTTTCTTTTTGGGAGCTGGGAGGAGCCTAGATATCTCACTGTAGCCTTTCTCTTCCTTCAGTCACAGGCAGGGTGCGGGAGAGCTCTTCTCAGGAATGGTCTCTGAAATGGCTCTTGGAGCTGAGATGGGGGTGGGGCAGATTCTAGAGGCTTAACAGCCCAGCTCTTGGTATTAGGGTTGGACACTTTCCTCTTTGTCCCAGATCTGGGGGTAGCAGAGGTGGGAAGTTGATGGCAGTGGGGGCTTCTCCATTAGCTCATCTGAAGGCCCAGAAACGTTGCTTTGGGGAGAGCTTGCCCCTTCTCACAGCTTCTCTTCCTCAGCTCAATTCTTGAGTGTGGGGGCGGCTAAGTGGGTCTGCCTTCAGGCCTCCAAGGAAGTCAGAAATCTACATTCGGCTTTGACTTCTGAGTATGTGGAGTGGGTTGGGGGGAGAGAGGGAGAGATCTGGCTCTCCTCAGCTTGAGGGAGCAGCTCTCTTCTTGCCTCTGTGCACAGAAGGAGGGCTACCCTGTGCCTGGGCTCCTCTCTGTTTGGGAGGATGAAGGGCTCCTCTGACTCCTTTGTCTTCCCTTTGGAATAAGAGCAGAGGCCTGCCCCAGCAACGTGGGTGCAGGAGTGGAGGACAGCTGGCCAGCTCAGATGAGTGGCTCCTTCCCTTCAGGGACTGGCTCTCCCTCTCCTTTGGTCTGGAGAGAGGGGGAGACCACAGATGCCCCTTTCCCTTCTCGCTCTCCCATGCCCATTCTCAGCTGCTGGCCTTTGCTCACTTTCTCTCCATCCCCTGGCCTGGACAAGAGGACACTTCACTCATACATGAATCATCCTGGATTCATGGCAGGCAACCCAGCAGCCAGGGGTGGCCCTCTGGGGCGGGGCGGGGGCTGGGCCAGTCATGGACTGGGTTCTACCTGGAACCCAGATGTGTTGATGCACCTGATGCCAAGTTACCAAGGAGGGGTAGCCTGTGCTGTGGAAGGCCCTGGGCCCCCTGGGGGGTGAATGAGGAAACTGCTGGCAGTGGAGAGGGCCTAAGGAATAACTGCACAGGCAAGAGCCTCTGGACTTTTTTAGAATCAGCTGGTGGAGCCACCTCCTTCTCTCCCACTGGCTGCCTCCCTGAGTCACTGCCCACCCACCAGCAAATAAAAAAGAGTGTCATCTGCTGGCCAGTGGCCCCATTTGGCCCCAGTGTTTGCATCTTTTTGCTCCTGGGTGGAAGGTGAGAGTCCGGGTAGGGTGGTCTCACTATGACAGTTCTTTCTGCGCCTTCCTCCTTTGGGACTCCGCTTCCTTCCCTGTCCTTTGTTCTTCCCCTCCCCCGACAACCCATGATGGTTCTCGCTGGTGACAAGACCCAGCCCCTGCTCCAAGGACAGAGGCAGCTGCAAGCCCTCAGGAGCCCCCACATGGCCCCATCCATCTAGACAGGTCTCTGATCCGGCTGCAGGGAGGGGACCCTCGGCTGTTCAGCTGCGACTCCTCCCTCCCCGCCCGCCCACTCAGCTGTCAACACTCGCCTCCCCGCCCTGGCCTTCCCGGGCCCCTGCCTGACTGCTAAGTCCGAGGACATTGCGCCCGGAGACCCTCACTCAGACCCATGCAGGCGATGAGCAGGCGGCGGGCAGACACCCCGCCTGCCCTTGAGCATCCCCAGGCCTCCTTGCCTAAATAAGGGAGCCGCAGCTGGAGCGAGCCAGCTGGCCGGGGGGAGGGGCCTGCGGCTAGGCCAGGGCTTTCCGAGGGGCTGGGCCGCGGCCACCGCCGCAGGGCCCCGAGCCCGCCGATTGGGCCTGCAAGGCTGGCCCCGGGCTGCCGGGGGAGGGCGGGCCGCTCGCACACGGGGATCCCCCGGTTGGAACTTCGCGCTCAGGGACCTCTCTTTGATCCCGCAGCTAGGAGGCCGCAACTGCTGTCAGAATGTCCCTCTCTGTGCGACTTCTCTGCAGAGCCCCACAGAGGGCTGTGTGTGTGTGTGTGTGTGTGTGTGTGTGTGTGTGTATGTGTGTGTGTTGGGGCAGGGGGCGTGCCTCTTCTAAATTTCACTCTCCCTTATTTAAGATCTCTGCTGGTCTGGGACCTCCAGATTGCTTTGCTTTTCCTATTTCCAAGGTCTCCCTTGACCCCGGACTCGTCTTCGCAGGGCCCAGGCCTTGCCCGGGTCACCCACAATAGGCACTGAGCGCATGCTGTGTGTACCAAGCCGGTGCTCGGCGTGGTGGGGAACCAGGGCATAAGGACCGGACTTTTCCCTTCAAATCAGGTTTCTTAGCCGCTAATCTGGGGTGGGGGTGGAATCCCTTCCCCCCTCCCGGCCGCCTACAAGCCGGCCATCACACCTGTCCTCACGGTTCCCCCTGCCTAAGGGTCCCTTCCCCCTCTTTAGGGCACGCGAGTCCCGGGGGCTCCTTGGCAGAGCAGGGGGCAGGCGCTGGGGGAGCACTCGGCGCGGCTCAGCCAATGGGAAGGGCGGGCGCGAGCGGTGGGAGGGGGGGAGAGGGCGGCGCTGCGGGCGCGCGGCAGGCGGGAGGGGGCCGGGAGGCGGGGGCCGGAGCCGGAGGGGCGCGCGCCGCATTAACCCTTCCGCGGCCGGGCCAAGCCGCAGGCGCTGCCCGAGCCGCGGGCGCCGGAGCGGCTGTCGGCGCGGCGGCAGGCGGGAGCCAGGAGCCCGGGGCTCGGGCTGGCGGAGCGCAGCGCGGGGACGCGGCGGAGTGGGCCCCGCGGCTCGGCGGGGGCCGGCAGACAGGTGTGCCGGCGGCGGGCGGCTGGCGCTCAGGCGGCTCCAGGCCGGGCCCGGGGTCCGGAGCTGGGAGCCGGGAGCCGAGCGAGGACCCGGCGCCCGCAGTCCAGTCTCGGCCCCGCCCGTGCTCGGCTTGGCCGCGGGGTGCGGGGACCACGGCCCGGCCGGGCCACCCGAAGCCTAGTGCTGGGCCGGGCCGGGCCGGGGTGGGTGGGGGCCCGCCCGGCCCGCCCATGGGCTCAGGATGCCGGTGCGGAGGGGCCACGTCGCGCCGCAGAACACCTTCCTGGACACCATCATCCGCAAGTTTGAGGGCCAGAGTGAGTGGGGGAGGGGGCTGGGCGGGGAGGGGGCTCTGGGGGCGGGCCGAGCTCTTCCGAGTGTGGATGGGGGGGCGTGCCCGGGCCGAGTCCATCGCCAAGTGCAAGTCAATGGAGCCTGGTGGGCCCCAGGCTCTGGCGGGGGGCGGCTGGGGCAAGGCTTGGTGCACCGGGGCCGTGGGCACCGGGCCAAAGGGCTTGGGGCGGGAAGCTCAGCTCAGGCTTTTGGGATCAGAGAATGTGTGTGACACGCCGAGTGTGCAGGGAAGGGACGTGGGATGAAATGTGCAGGTGTCCCCAACTCTGGGTGCCTGGACGTGGATGGGGCTGTGTGCGAGGGCATAAGAGTGTGTATGACCCAAACCCTGGGATCCCGAGAGTCCAGCGGGCACACTGATCTTGCCAGATCTTGACTGTGTTGTGCCTGAGGGACTAGAAAGCCGTGGATGCAGGGTCAGCCCATAATCTCCTCTTGTGTGTGTGCCGTGTGTATGACCCCGAGCCCATGTGTCACCCATGAGTTAGACCCTGTATGGGCGGTGGGGTGGTGCCTTTGACAAGGCTGTGAGCTTGTGGGCTTTGTGGAGACAGGGTGTCCTGGTGCTAGAGCTGGGCTTTGAGGGTAACCAGCTCCCTGTGGTACCCTCAAGTTGTGGTTTTCTTGCCCTGGGCACTGTCACCTAATTCCCTTATGGGGACCGGGACTACAGCACCCCTAATGCCTGCCTGATAGAGAGGCTTCTAGAAGGGTCCCAGATTAGGCAAATGTCCTGGGTGTGGGTTTGCACCCAAGCAGCATTCATGTGCCTGTCCCTAAGGCTGCATGAGCCACAGTGGGTGTGACTGCCAAGGGCCCTGGGAGTTGGGAGAGGATGACATTCCTTGCCCATGACCCTGTGAGCACAGGACAACGCGTGCTTGTAACCGTGGTGGGGGGAAGGAGGGGTCAGTCCAATGGTCAGTATTGTGTGAAGCTGAGGAACAAGATGATCCTGAGGGGGTGGAGACAGTGACACTGGTTGAGGGCCTCCCTGAGAGGTGGGGGTGGGCCCAGGGGGAGGCTGTGGGTGGGCCCATGGGGAGGTTGCGAGGGGCATGGGGGAGAGCTGGCTTCTAGCCCTACCTTTGCCACTGACTGCCATGTGACCTTGAATGACTCTTCCCTCTTTGGGTCTCAGTTTCCAGGTCTGTGGAGGAGGGGCAGGCTTTCTGTCCCATCCCTGTATTCCAGGATATCAGTGAAGGGTGTGTGTGGGGGTGGGGCATGCCTTCGAAGAAACTTCCTCTTCTCTCCGAGGCCTGGGACAGAGGACAAGGGGTGATTTTTCTTCTATGAAGCTGAGGTGTGTGGCTGGGCCTCTGGACTGCCTTGAACTGTGGCAGAGCTGGAGGCTGAGTTAGGGGGTCTTTTCAGGTGACAGGAAGCCCTGACTCCTGGAACTGATGGCTGTCTAGGAGGTCTGGGGGTGCTTGGGAACTGGCCAAAAGATGACCCAGTTCCAAAAAGCAACTTCCTGGGGGCCAGGGGAAGGGAGAACCGAGAAAGGTGGGAGGAGGCCAAGTCCCGATGGCCTGGGCCTACCTCAGGGTACCCTGCTGCAGCCCATCCTTGCACGTAGGATTGCCTAGGGCTGTAACCTGAGGGCTTTGCCTGCTGGGGAGGGAAGGGGAAGAATTCCAACTGCTACTGAAAGCCCCAGCATTAAAGGCCAAAGTGGCCAGAAACTTCTGTTTAGAAAAAGCTCTTATCCCAGGAGCATCTTGCCTGGCACAAGTGAGGCTGCTGCCTGCCTGCTGCTCACTCACCAGCCTGGCTCTTGGGGCAGGCCTGGAGTCGGCGAGCCAAGTCTGGCCGAAATGGAACCCCATATGGAACCATGGGGGTGCTCATCCCGGATGAGGCCAAACTGAGGAGGGCCTCACATCCCTGGGCAGGTCCCCTATCTTGGGTCTGTTTTCCTACAAGTGGGGCCAAAGTCTCAGGCCCCTCCCAGGCTCCAGGTGTTTCCAGGGTTTGGAGCTGCAGGTCCCTGTCTTTGCTTCCTATGACCTTGGGTTTCTGCCTGTGACCCTCAGCTTATTCTTCTGCCTCTGCCAGACCAAGGTTCAAAAGCTGCTCTGTCCTTTACAAGCTGCAAGACTTGGGCATGGTGCCGAACTTCTCTGGAGTCTTGGTTTCTTCATCTATAAAAGGAGGATAATGACACCTACCTTATGGGGTTGTCAGAGGACCAAATGAGATGCAGCGTCCTAGGTGTTCAACGTGTAACTTCCCTCATCCTCTCTGGCACACCCACCCCTCAGCTCCTGACTGTCCTTGCGGGGTGGGGGTGGGGGGGGTTGGGGTGCAGAAGTTCCAGGGGTTACTGACCTGGTAGGATCCTCAGATAATTGGGGAGTGATTTCCTAGGGAGCCTCAGGATAAAGAGTGGCTCAGGGAGCGCCCCCCAGTCTGGAGAGCAGGGAAATTAAAAGCAGAATCCAGTGCAATCCGGTGCAAAGGGAATCCTGGCCGCCATCTCTGGCCTTTCCCAGGCTCCCTCTCTAGGCCCAGTGTTTATCCCTCCGCTGCGGCTGCTGACACGCGTTGCTGACACCCGCCAGGCTGGCCTCAGCCTCAGGCACGGAGGAGGCAGCAGGCTGCTGGCGGCCTGCCCGGGGGAAGCCACGCAGCCAGCCTGTGGTCCAGGCGGAGGAGGGGGCGCGCCGCGCGGCCGGACCAGGCCAGGCACCTGTATCGGGGCTCAGGCACAGCTGCCTTCACCCCCTGCTGGGGACCCCAGTCCCAGCCATGCTTCCTGTGGCGGGGAGTCCCCGGGCGGCTGTGTGTGAGTGGAGAATGTGGGGAAGGGCTGGGAGTCCCCGATGCTGGGGTCCCCGCTCACGCGCACTCTCCTCCCCGCCCCCCAGGCCGTAAGTTCATCATCGCCAACGCTCGGGTGGAGAACTGCGCCGTCATCTACTGCAACGACGGCTTCTGCGAGCTGTGCGGCTACTCGCGGGCCGAAGTGATGCAACGACCCTGCACCTGCGACTTCCTGCACGGGCCGCGCACGCAGCGCCGCGCTGCCGCGCAGATCGCGCAGGCACTGCTGGGCGCCGAGGAGCGCAAAGTGGAGATCGCCTTCTACCGGAAAGATGGTAGGCGCGGGCCGGGGCGGGGCAATGACGAGGGGCGGGGTCAAGAGGGGTGGGACCACGGCGAGGGGCAGGGTGCGTGGGGGTGTGGGGGCGGCTGGAGAACGCCGCGAGCCCGGGCAAGGTTCTGTGGGGGCGTGACGCGGGCTGGGGTCCTGCGGTGTGCCTGTGGGAGGCGCGGTTCCGGGGCCTGCACCTCACTCTGCTGAGATGGTTTACAGGGGGACAAAGGAGTTGCTAGGCTGTGGATCTGGCTCCTCTGGTCCTTTTTTTCCCTGGGCAGGTGTGGCCACCTAGAGCAAGTTGGACTAGAGTTAGACCGAGCTGGGATGGCAGGTACAAGCGTGGATGGAGGTTAAAGGTCAGGCTGGCAGTTGGCGCTGACCTCCGGCCACAGGCCCCTAGCTGCCTTAGGGCAGTTGGTGCCAGGTGACAGGTCTGGGAGATGTCACGGAGGGACAGGAGGGCTGCAGGACTCTGGCTTTCTCTGCTGCCCCCCTCCTGCCCTGCGCTTCAGCAGCACCTGGGGAAAGTGAGTGCCTCTCCTGCAACCTCAGTTCCCTTTGTCTCAGCTGTCGAGCGCCCTGCCCTGCCACCCTCTCCTGCGCCAGGTGTCTTTACTCAGCCACCGCCTTCCAGCACAGCTGCTCTGGGCTTCCGGAGAGCGGATAAACAGAGCCCGGGGTGGGGCTGCTCCCACACCGTGAATGCCCTGTTGGGGTGGGCTCTGGTCAGGGTGGGCAGAGCAGGAGGACTGGGGTCCTGCGGGCAGAATCCTGCTACAGAGGCAGCTCTAGAATGCGTGCAAATCTTGCTGCTTCCTAGGGTGTCCCATAAGCATTTGCTCAACGCTTGTGAGCCTGGCAGGCGCTAGGCTCTTGGAGATGGGCAGGACAGACGAGGCTCCTGCCCTCAGGGAGCTTGTCTGCTGTAGACAGTGAGCACACTCTGTTTTCTGTTTGGGACCAGGCCAGCCAGCCCCATGTACCAGCCCTGTGTGCTCAAGGTTGTCTGGGGTGACCCTGCAAAGCCTTGCATCCTCCAGGCTGTGCTTTTGCAGGCGTGCACAGTCTGTGGCATCACTGGACAGCACTAGAGCGGGCACGGTCCCTGCCCCCTGTGGAAGAAGGTTTGCTCACAGCAAATCAGGATTCCAACTGGCAGGAGGCAGGGGCTATGAGGCTAGACTCAAACCCTGAAGGCAGTGGGTGGTTTCTAGGGGCTGGACACTGGGTCAAATGCTTTACTTCTCTTATCTCATGCACTGTTCACAACGCAGGGAGGTAGACACTACTATTGTCTTCATCTTGGGGGATGAAGAAACTGAAGTTCACACCGTCACATAGCTAGAAAATAGCAGTTGGGAATGGAGCCCACATCTGTCTGACCAGAGCTCTGTGCGCTGTGTTCTGTCATATATTGAAAATGACACCAGATAGTTACAGGTCTATCTGTACGCTGTACATTATCTCATGTGAAATTTTATTTTAAAAGTTTGCCAACCACAGGTGTAATGAAGAGAATACGAACCCATAAGTCCTGGGTTTGTGTCTAAGACAGTGCTGGAAATTATACACTATTGGACAAGTTGGTTGACTTCCCTGGGTCTGTTTCTACTTCTACCTTCACAAGGGTGCTGGGCTTTCATAGAGAGTGCCTGCCACGGGCCGTCCTCTGTAAACACGGTGCCAGTTCCACTACGGATGTAGCTGTGCTGGGGATTTGGCCTCTTGGCAGCAGAGGCCGAGGGCTCTTTCCTTTGGCTGTGGTATATGTGGAGTGCTCTTAGGTGGAGCTGGACCTCCCTCCTGGTCTAGGCTGGCCCCTTCTGGAGAGGATGGCCATGGGCCCCCTTCTGCAGAAGAGTTATTGTGGGATCACCTAACCCCACCTATTTGGGTTGCAGGTGGAAGGACGGAGAAGCAGAGGTCTGATGACCAGTGAATCAGTGGAAGGAGTGGGATTAGAACCCAGGTCCCCGGCCCAAGTTCAAACTTGTCCCCTCTCCAGGTTACAACTCCAAAACATGGGGCTGTGACCCAGAAAACTCTATGCCAGCCATCTCTGACTGTCCCCTTCTTCACTCTCACCTAGTTTCTGTGGGGCTCAGGTGTCTCCTGTTGGCCAACAGGCTGGCCTGGTGCTCAGCCACCTAGGACCCCATGTATCCTGGCATTCTAGGCCTGGGGTGATGCAGACAGATTTCCTCAGCCTCCGCTTCTTCTGCCTTGAAACACTCAGTCCCTCCTGTGGTCCCGGGGCCTGGCTTGGGCTGCATGTGTGCATGCCTGTGTGTGTACTCACACGTGGATGCAGTAGGGAGGCGGAGGTGAGGAATGCCTGTGCCACCCCTTGTTTCTGTCCAGGCCTTTCTCAGGGTCTCTGCCTGGGCCAGCCCCGGGTAGGGGGGAGCTGGGCAGGAGGTGGAGCCTTCTGCTGGCAGGCGCCACCGTGGACAGCTGTGCTGTGTTGGTGCCTCTAGCCTTGCTCTGCGCAGTGTCAGGGCCTGGAGCCAGACAGCCCCATTATTTAGTTGCTGGGACTGCTGGGAGGTGGGGAGGCTAGACTGGGGGAGTGTGGGCTGAAGGGAGAGACACGAGGTGCCTGGGGCTCACTAGCCCTGTGCCCCTTGAAGTCAGGCCTGGGATTAAGGTGGAATTGGGGGCAGAGCCCAGTGGTGTGAGGCTGGCTGGTGGTAACATCCCCACAAGGCCCTGGGGAGGCACCCTAGGCAGCAGGTGCTGGCTGTGTCCACACCTGTGCTCCCACATCGCCATGGGGGCTGTGGCTCCTCCTCTGCCAGTCCTCACAGAGTCCCTTCTCTCTGTCCCCTGCATCCTCTCTGCTCTTTGTTCCTGCTTCTGCTCCCTGCTTCCCTGCCACTGTGCTCAGCCAGCCTGACTGTGCCCACCTTCTCGGCTCCTCTCCTGCTCCGCACATCTCCCTGCCTTTGTCTCCTGCCTGCCTGGTTGACTCTCTGTCCCTTGGTCTTTATCTCCTCTCTGGTGCCTCCCCCTGTCTTCTTCCCTCGCCTCAGCATCCAGGAGCCTTGCTCCTTGCCTCTCCCCCTCTCTCCCATTGTCCCCCACCCCTCGGAGCCTCTATCTGGAAGGCTCTGTCTGACTGCTCATACCTCCGACTGGCCTGGCCTGGCTCCATGTCCCTGTGTCCCCGGGAGCTTGTGCGTGGGTGGGGACGGGGGTGTCTCTGGAGAAGAGTCTATTGGCTTCTCCACTCCAGCTGCAGGCCGGTTGCCATGGTAACAGGGTCAGAGGTCCCCCACTGCAATAGCCGATGCTGTGGCTGTTGGGAGGGGGTGGGGACCTGCTGTCCAGGCCTGCTCCCCAGTGCACTGTGCCCAGGGCCTCAGAGGTGGTTCCACACCCAGTGGGCTTCTGTCCCTGGCCTTGGACCCCAGCCTCCCAGGTGCTCCGGCAGGCCTCAAGCCTCAGACTGCCTTGAAATCCTCAGTACCTCCTGTGAACAGCCCCACTCCTCTGGGCCTCCTGCCCTTCTCCATCCCCCAAGGCCATCTGTCCTGTCTTCTTCCTTGCCTTTCTTATCCCTTCCTGTGCCCATTCCTTTAAATCAGATGCCCTGCTCTGTCACCACCATGCCTCACCTTCTCCCTCATGGCTGACCCTTCCCCAGCTCAGACACCCACTCTTTGCTTCTTTTCAGCCGCCTAGGTCTGAGCTGGGGATGAAGGAAGCTTTTCCTCGAAGGGAAGCCTTGAGGCTGGGAAGGCAGGTGGGACAGGGATTGGTGCGTAAGTGGGTTTTGTCTTCTTGAGATAGGAGGTAGACCAGAGCGATCCCAGAGGACAGGGCTTAGACACAGGAGCACTTTTCCTGTGGGACTGAAGCTATCAGGGGAGTGCCCTTCATCCTGGGGACAGGGATGTTCCTATCCTTCTGGCCAAGGCCTGGTGCAGCCTGGAGACAGGGCCGAGTGGGAGAATCTGCAGGGCTGCCAGATGCGGGCACAGGGGCCCGGGGGTCCGTGGGGGCCCTGCCTCCGAGCAAGTTGCTTCTTGCCCCACAGCAACTTCCCTCCACATTTTCCTTCTCCAGCTAGATCAGAGGCCTGTTGGAGGGGCTCCACGGGGGTCATTCCTGAGCTGTGGCTGTCTGTCCTGGTCTGCTGGGGCTGCAGTCTTCCCATCCCAGGCCTGCTCCGGGGGTGAGGCAAGCATGACACAGTTGAAGGGTGCTATCTACTTCTCCACCCACCCTGGGGTCTGGAGAGCGGTGGGAGGGCGGCTTCTCCGTGTTGCGTCTTCTGCAGCCCCCGGAGAGGAGCTATGTAAATATTTGCGAAGAGCTGTCTGGGATGGGAGCAGAGCTTGATGGTGGCCTTGGGCTCTGGGGAGGGGGGCTGTGGGGCAGCAGAAGGGCCAGCTTGGGGGTGTGAGATGCGGGGAGACTGGGCCTCTTTTCTGCCCGGAGGTGCCTTCCTGGGTGGGGTGATTTTGGAGGTTCCAGGAAACCCCTTCACGTGTCGGTATTTCCCTGAAGGGTTCCTGAAACTCCTCCCTTAGAGAACTTCTGCGTTTAGAATGCTCCTTTTTCTTTAAAAACACGTTGTCTCTCATTGCCCCCTCCCAGTATAGAGACAAAAAGTATTTAGCCCTTTAGTGTGAGGGAGTTTAACAGAACTTCCCTCCGGACGTGGGCAGGAGGGCAATGGGAGTCAGGGTCAGTAGAGGAGGGAGGGGTGCTGGGACAGGTGATGAATGTGGGGGGCTCCCCTAAAGTCCCCTCCATCTCCTTAGTCCTGCCCATGGAGATCTCTATGCTGTGGCCTGTGGTTGGCCTCAGATAAACCCCTCTCCTTTTTGGGTGCTTGTCCAGGATGAGAAACACCTTTAGGAGCCAGGCAGTGTCTTCCCCTTGGTCCTCCACCTCCTGCAGTGCTGGAGAAGTTTCCCTGTCTGTCTACCCCCACCAGGCCTTGAACTCTACGCGGGTGGAGAGCAGCCCATCTGCTTTGTTCTGTTGTAT